TGTTTGCTTTACACCTTCAGCTCCCCAGGTGTGATATTGCACTGCATGAGAATGTCTTAAGTTTGCTTTTTAACCTACAGACACCAAAAGGGCAATAGCTCTGGGACTGCATGGATATGCCAGAGAAATCACCTACCTTACTCAGGCTGGAAAACAGAGTGACCACAAGCTGAAAGGCTGTATGGGCTCAACCAGGGCGACTGCAGCAGTGCAGAGGATGGCTGAGCATCTGCACAAGCCTGTGAACAGCTCAGACAACAACGAGGTTTGCCCTTGTTTGGAGCCAAACAACTTTTTGAAGTAATCACAGAATGGCCTGGGTTGCAAAGGAGCACAGTGCTCATCCACTTCCAACCTGTTCCTGCTGTGTGCAGGTCGCCAACCAGCAGCCCAGGCTGCCCAGAGCCACATCCAGCCTGGCCTTGAATGCCTGCAGGGATGGGGCATCCACAGCCTCCTTGGGCAACCTGTTCCATCCAGTGCCTCACCACCCTCTGCCTCCAAAACTTCCTCCTCACATCCAACCCAAACCTCCCCTGTCTCACTTTAAAACCATTCCCCCTTGTCCTGTCACCATCCACCCTCACAAACAGCCATTCCCACTCCTGTTTATCCGCTCCCTTCAAGTAGTGGAAGTCCTCGGTGTGCAAGCATCTTTGGGTATAGCTTTTATATAAGGGCCCCAAAGGACATCTACCTGACTGCAGACAAGGATTTCCAAAGGAACACGTGCATTTGCCCACATTAGCTAACCCTGTTGTTGCATTTCTTCACTAGGAAAAGCCTTCTCACTGCACTGCTCGAGTCTGCAGAGTGCTGCTTTATTTGCTCTTAATACAAATACCGCCCCTCAGAAGTCAGGCTGACTTGTGAACAATAGAGGTGAACACGCAGAAAGGAATAAAACAAAGTCAAGTGTATATGTGTAAGCAGTCTAGGTGTAAAGTACAGATTCAGTGTCTCAAAAGCTGGAATGAACTGCATACTTTCAGATATTCAGAGAACAACTGCATAGGGCCCCTCATGCATCAACAAATGCTGGTCTTAAAAATGAGCTGCTTTTCTGGAAGCCAGCAAGATCCCATGCTTGAGAAATCTGAAATACAGAGAAGTGTTCCCAAAAGGAAACAAAGATTTTGGAGAACACAACTGGGAAAATGTAAATCAAACAAAACTTTAGCTCGTCATCTTTCGCCTTAAGAAAGTGAGACATCATCTAAATCTGATAGCAGGAAAGTAAGGCTTTGGTGTTGCTTAGCCTCTGTAACAGCATGTGCAGAAGCAGCAGATCTGTCCTGGCTTCATCTATGTATAATATAGTAACACTCTGCAGTTGGGGCACACGAGGAGAAAGGTAAATACAGCAGAATACAGGTGCCAGGAGATATGAAGAGGGAAGCAGAGCTTGCACACCTGCATGCTTGATGCAATAAATCATGCAAGTTGCAATGTGAAAACATGTATTCATCATTTAATGCTTGAGAAACTAAAACAAGTCTCCCCAGGCAGAGGCATCCAGCAGCAATACAATTAAACCTCAGTCCAACCCTGCAGGTATACAAAAGGCTGCAGGCAGAACTATGCAGTTCATCAGGGCCTGAAGCAAAGAAATCTGTAGCAAACTGCCAAATTTGCTCCGACTGAAGCCTGAAATAATGGGCTAATTGGTTTTACAACCAAAGTTGTAAGAAAACAAACATTAAACACCATCCTCACATCTGCAGGAGTAACAAAACTATTCTGTATATATATCTGATATATATACGTATATATATTCCGATGTGTATATCTGATCCTTCTCAGAGAGAGAGGCTAAGCCTGAATTAAATAACTACAGATTTTGGTCACCCTGTTTATCTCTGGGATTCAATTCCAGGCTGCAGAGAAACAGAGATGTCTTTAGAGAAAACTAAGAGCTATGAGTAGGTCCTCTTCACAGATAAACTAAGTGCAACGTAAGTCACAGCATGACTGCGATTTGACAGCAGTTCAGCAAAAGCTGTCTGCAGTGATAACGAAGGAAAACTGAAAACCAGCAATTGAACAACGACAAAAAAACCAAACCAGTCAGTGTAAATGAATGTGTGAATAAGAAAAACTCATCACCACCTCACACGCTCCTGCTCTCATCCCACAGATGAAGGAGAGCCTGGAAATACTTTGCCGACTGCTGTCTGCAGCACGGAGCGTCAGATTACTCACCTGCTGTATCCTGAAAACGAAAAATCCCTTCCAATCTTCATTTTAACAGCTGGTGGCCTTTCTGCTTGCTTAAATATATGTAAGCAGATATTATTCACAAGACAGTGGGCATCTGTGCTTCGCTACGCATGTGCTCAACTGCAGTGCCTGGCTGTGGAAGTCTCGCCAGTTTTCCCCTTGAGCCAGGCTCCCTGTAAAGGCTCATTTCCATTTATATTATTAGGAAGCACTAAGGAGCCTTGTTTAGAGCCATCAGCCTTAAGAAAAAGTTAAAAAAGAACAACTATGCATGCAAGTCGTGGAGGTGAGAAGGAAATGAGGCATAGACATTCATGTGGGGGCAAGGAGGGAATGTGATATTCCCAGAGAACTGTGCTTCATATTCCTACATGTTTTGAAATATTATCCGGCCCAAAAATGTGTTTTGTCTTGCTAATGACTGCGTATCACCTAACAGGGAAATAAAAAAACCTGGCAGCACGAAGGCAAAACCTCCAACAAATACCTAAAGCTGACACTATCTGCTCTTCAAAGCTAATGGACACTAGAAGGGAAGAGCAGAGATGTACACCTTGTGACCCAGAGCCCTCACCTCTCTGCTTATTTGAGGGCCACCTGCACCCATCCCAGCCTGCACGTGAGGTTCAGGCACTACAGAAGCCATAGTTTGGGTATTTTAGCCCTTTGTATTCTTCTTTAGGTGACCACACGTCATCTTTGGGTTTTGACATCACAGCGATGGATGAAATAACAAACTGACAGCAATATTTGCCTGATGATTGAAGCCTTTTTCTTCCCGCACCTCGGGATAAGAAAAGAAGGGAGAATCTTTTCAGCTGTGGTTACAACTACTGAGAATGTGGAACTGCACGAGAACCACAGCTTCCTTTTCTCAGGCTCTGTTTGCTGGCTGAGCTGGATTTCCATCAGGCAACACTTGCACTGCTCTGCTCAAAGATGATCCCTCTCCTCCTCCCGTATTTGCCAAGATTGTCCTCCCAGTCAAACGATTTGCCAAACAGCTTTGCTCACTTTGATCAGCATTTCTCTACGCAAGGGCTGAAGGAAAGATAAAAGCAAAGTGCAGCATAGAAATAAGGGCTGGAAAGTGCTCTGGTACAGTGATGTCCCATAGGACTTTAGGGGCTGTTACTAAAAGCAGAACTCTTGTTCCAGGGGTCTGATACTGAGCCACGTTACTCCGAGGCACATAACTCCATCCAAAGCCTGCTCCTATCATTTTCAACTGGAGCAGCAATGAAAAGCTCTTTTTTCTTTCCCCCCCCTTGCCTTTTAGTATTAAAGGCTGTGTGATCACAAGCTGCCTTCACAGCTGTTCTCCTTCCCACGTTCTGCGTATTGGAGGAACAAAGATAGACTCAGTCTACCAGAAGGCAGCGATCATCAGCTCTGAGAAAGCAAAACTCTTTTGAAGTTTCAGTAGTGAGAAGATGGCACACACCAGCAGGGTCTGCTCAGTGCTTCAGGGCATTCAGATACAACACAAACAGCCCTAGAAAGCTTTAACTGCACTGTTAAAGATCAGCCAGTGTCACAGAGGTGTCGTTTCAAATCAGGTTTTTGGGTTTTGAGATTCTCCCAGAAGACACAAACCAGCTGCAAGTTATTAATGTCTGCCCATTAGTGCTTAATAGTTTATTATCTCATTAGGAGCAACTCTTCCACCCTAATTTAACGTTAACTGTGACAAAAGAGATTATTTCTCCAATCAGCTGAAGCAATGTTGAGTCCATCTCCCGTCACCAGGGCAGCACCAAGTGATCTGGCAGCAAACCCTGGTGGGGTTACCTCACACTGGATGATATTTTCGACACCTTGCAGCACCTGGGATATCTGCAAAGAGCAAGGCAATGACACAAGGGAACATCCACCAACTCCACACCATTGGGGCAGAGGGGAATCGTTAACTGAGGGCTCCTAAAACTGCAGTGCTATGTTTAGGTGGGATTCAGGCATCCAAAGAGTGAAGATGGGAAAGCAGGACATAATTGTTTTAAGGTAAGATGCTGCACAAGCATACGTAATTCAAAAGATCACACATCAATGAGCACAAAGCACGTAAAGCCTGCAAGAATGTGCTTGCAAATGGTCTTGTGAAGGATATCTCAGTGGTTTGAAGGAGAGTTGCTCAAGCATTATGCTGAAACAGCTTCTGCAAGGCATGCCAGCCTTGTGACAGAGCAGACTGGTTTCTGTGACCTTCTGTATCGAGAATGGAGAGGATTCTGGATCCTCCTCAGCAAACCAGAGCAGAAGCAATTAGCATTTCTCTGGAAGGCTGCCCTGCCTTCAGTCACCAAATAATGGAGCTTCCCATTCAGCAACAACGCTCAACACACAACAGCTATTTCCATAGCAGTGATTGTGCTCATCTTGGTGGTCCAGCCTTAATGATTCTGTGATTATAACTCACAGACTCCCATGCAGCTCACTCGTATTATATTCAAAGCAAATGGGAAAGCAGACACTGGCCAGGCTTTTAAGACCTGTTCTGCTTAAGGTCTTCCATGCTCCTGGACTGCCACAGTATAGAAGGGCTGGCAGCAGTTGCACCTTACATACAGCCTTAAAAGAATGTTTAATTCACCGCCCTCTTTGGTCAAAACATTCACATTTAAAATAATACTTCCCCTCCCACAATCCTCCAAAAGTTAATTTTCTGTCTTTTGTTTTTTTTTGTAGCATCCATCACCTTTGAATCCCTAAAGAAAAAATAAAACGACTTACCATCTGACCATGAGCCCCAGTTCCATGAAATTTTTCAGGTTAGGAAGAGTTTGCCTTAGATCTGGAGTACTCAGCCCATGTTGATATCTAAGCTACAAAAAACAGGCAAAGATAAAATCAGTAAAGCTTTCCAAACCCCACATCCCGATGGATATCATCATGTGCTCCCTTAATCCAGCCAGTTTCCAAAGAAGCTGTAGGACAATCAAGCACTTCCAGGCCATCTATTACCTTGAAGGAAATACTCCATTTAATGCTCATAACCTCACATTAGCAAAACCCACCCAAGAACAGGGACAAACCCATCAGTCAGTACAACTGTTAAACCTCATTACACTCCTTCCGTTTCCTATCTGTAACAGGAGAGCAGCCTCACAGCTCAATGCAAAGAGCCATCAGGTGGGCAGCCCAAATTTCAACACAACGTCCCACACGTTCACCAGCTCCCAACATTTATTTCTGTGCAAGTGCCATCCATCATCCTGAGCATATCAACGCATGCTGGAACCAGTAGTGGAATGTTGACACTAACGTCAACTACTACAAACACATGCTGTCCAACAGCTGAACTGAATCTGTGTTCTTTTAATGGTTTATATCAACATTTAAGTGTTTTCATAATTGAAGTCAGCGTTCAGATACAGCACCACGTAGCTCAGAAACAGGTTCTAACATCAGCTTGCTTTAGCCCGAGCATTAGTAGGTACAAACAGAAATCACGTTGGCTCCACACAAACTGCAAGTTGTTCTTACCCTCAGATTATCATACGAAGCACATACAATATGTTCAAGGAACATATAGACACATGAGGGATGTGATTTTGGGAGAACTATTGGTGATTGGGGGACGGTTGGACTGGATGATCTTGTAGGTCTTCTCCAACCTTGGTGATTCTAAACGTAACAGCCAATGCTGATAATTTCAAACTGCTCGTTTCTATGATATTCTATGATTTAAGAAGGCCCCTGTCTTTGAAACGAGCAAGTGGAAGGGGAAAAGAGTCTTACAGATTTGAATCCCAAAACTTGCCCTGCACATCCTCCCTGAGCTGGTTCCAATATACGATATAGCCCAAAATTCCAGTACCATTAGGAAAGGGTGTTGGGAGGAAGCAGTACCAAGGTGACATGGAGCTGTCACAGAATGACTTGGATTGGAAGGGATCTCAAGGATCATGAAGCTTCAGCCCCCCTCCAATGCAGGGCCACCAACCTCCACGTTTCACAGCAGCCCAGGCTGCCCAGGGCCCCATCCAACCTGGCCTTGAACACCTCCAGGGATGGACGGGGCATCACAGCCTCTCTGGGCAGCTGTTCCAGCACCTCACCACTCTCATAGCAAAGAACTTCCCCCGACATCCAACCTCATTCTTCCCTCCTTCAACTTCCAACCATTTCCCCTTGTCCTGCTGTTATCTACCCTTCCCAATGGGACTCCCCTCTGCTTTGAGAAGGAAAAAAGAAGGTTGTCATTGGAAGTGACCTCCTAGAAGTGCTCAGACACAGACCTATTTTCATGAAAGTGACTTTATATTGATGTGCCAACACCTGCCTTCTCCTCCCAGATGGGTTTCATTCTTCTAAGAATACTAAACTCACAAGAGAAATAAGTTACATCAACAACCTTGAGAATCCATGCACCTTCATTAACCCACAGAGCACAAGCTTTTAAATTCAAACTGTCCTTAAGAAAAATAAAAGGCCTCCAGGAATATCACCTTGAACTCCCACAGTTGCTGATGTAGCACTAACAAACAAGGCATACAAACAGCAATCAAAGCAGTAAGAGGACAGCAGCTGTGCTTTATGCTGGCCCTTCAAAGGCTGCTTACAATCACACTTGGTTTTATAGCATGCTTACTCTGAAACAGGCTGATCTCATCCCAGCCACGAGGCAGAGGCTGCTGTCAAGAAGATACTTGCTTCTTCTCTTACTTTTATCTGTAACAGTGGCATGTAATCATCAAGATCACAGAATCATTAAGGTTGGAAAAGAATCCTAAGATCCCCAAGTCCACCTCCAACCCATCCCACCCTCAGCGCCTCATTCCCTGCTTTCTCTGATTTACCTTAGAATCACATTAACCTGCTGCTTCTTCCCTCCCCATCCACAAACAAGTTCTGACCGCAGCCTGAGCGCAGAAGCGAAACACGGATGCTGAGCAAGCTGTTAGGTGGAATTCTTCTAATTTTTAAAGCTGAGGGCTGATAATAGGCAATATTTAACACTGGATTCTGGTTTCACAGCGATAGTGTTTATTGGAGACAGACCACAAGAAAATAAGGAAATAGGAGTACGTGTTTGAGTGCATGCAGAACGCACTGTAGAACTAAAACATCTCGATGAGCCAAAAGCTGTGTTTCCTCCTGCATTCCCTTGCTCATATTAGCAAAGCCCTTCCTGACAGTAAACACAATATCCCTCCAGAGAGGTCTTGAGCATTAAGCCTTCATGGTACAAGTCTGGTGTCCCAGTAAGGATATGGGAAACCACAGTCAAAGGGGGAAACAGCCGCTTACATAAGTGAACCATGCCCGTAAAATGTGGTGGCCGTTATAAATTTGGTGGGCTTGTTATAAAAACAACAGACATGAGCCCCCTTGCCCATAAAGGTGCCTCTCATACACCGTGACCATTTACAGAAACAACATGAAGAAAAAAAAAAAAGGCAATTTAGAAGATAGAGCAGTTACTGGCCTCAGAAAAGCTTCCCCCCCTTCACCAGTGAAGCACTGCAATAACTAAAACCACGTTTGCTGTTCAGCTGTAGTCTCGCTGCATTACGGCCTGAAGAAATGAAACTATGCAGTATAACCTCTCCAGGTTCAGGTCAGAACTTCTTAAAACACCCTGGTATCACAAAGTGATGTTGATTGGATTAGGAGATGTGGGCAGGTATTTCCTATGACTTCATGCAGGCTGAACGCCTGCATAAAAATCATGACGTCGGGCAGAACGAAAGGTCAGACATGAAAAGCCAAGAGAAAGGTAAATAATGCTCTGCACCTACACCTGAAACACATTGTTTGCTTTACACCTTCAGCTCCCCAGGTGTGATATTGCACTGCAT